AACATTTTATTAAATGATTAATTTTACAAAAAATTACCTCAAAAAAATACACAAAATAGGATAATAAATATTTAAAAAATTAATTTATCAATAATTTAAAAATTGTCTGAGATAAATCTGAATTAAATAATAGATAAAATTAAAAAAATAAAAATAAAATGTTAAAAAACCATTAATTAAATTCAAAAATATTAAAAGTTTTTTTTTATAAATTATTTTAAATTTATGAGATAAATCTGCAATTTGTTAGTTTATAACTTAAATGAAAAACTCAATAGAGAGTAACTCTTTTAAAGCTTTTGAATTAATAAATTTTAATAGATTTAAAGTTATTAGTAAAATATAAAAAAAAACAATTTAAAAAAAAAATATAAATTTTGTAAATTTAATTGATTTTAATATTTTAGATTTGAATTAGATATTTCATTGTTTCTTTAAAAATTATTAAAAGAAATTAATTTATTAGAAACCAAATTATTAAAATATAAAAAATAAACTTAAAAAATTCTTAGTCTATTAAGTGAGTGAATAAATAAATATTTTAATAAATAGTTAATTTTGTAATATCATTTTAAAAAATAAATTAGGATAATATTTATAAGCAGCCACACACAATATTTTAAAAATTTTTATTTAACTTGGTAAAAAATAAGAAATTAAAATTATATTTTCTGATTTTAAAATCAATAATTTCTACATTTATAAAACCAATAATTTATCATTAATCATAGATGTCTGAAAAGTAATTTAAAAAGAAAATATATTTTTACATTTCCAATCCAATTAAGTATTTTAGGTATAAATAATACTATTTTTTAAAATTTACTTGAAATTAATAGGGCATTTTTAGTATTAATTAGATTATTAATTGACATTTATTTTGATTTGATTAAAAAATTAATTTTCTATCTACATTTAATCTATTTGTCCATCAAATAAATAAATAAATTAATTAATTTTAATATTTTAATTTTTAATTATAAACATAAAATACTTATTTAAATAACATTTATTTTTTTCATCTATATAATTAAT